AAATTGATTGAGAGGAAAGAAAACAGGGCTTTATAAATTAAGAAGAGGAAAGAAAACAGAGCTTTGTAAATTGATTGAGAGGAAAGAAAACAGGGCTTTATAAATTAAGAAGAGGAAAGAAAACAGAGCTTTGTAAATTGATTGAGAGGAAAGAAAACAGGGCTTTATAAATTAAGAAGAGGAAAGAAAACAGAGCTTTGTAAATTGATTGAGAGGAAAGAAAACAGGGCTTTATAAATTAAGAAGAGGAAAGAAAACAGAGCTTTGTAAATTGATTGAGAGGAAAGAAAACAGGGCTTTATAAATTAAGAAGAGGAAAGAAAACAGAGCTTTGTAAATTGATTGAGAGGAAAGAAAACAGGGCTTTATAAATTAAGAAGAGGAAAGAAAACAGAGCTTTGTAAATTGATTGAGAGGAAAGAAAACAGGGCTTTATAAATTAAGAAGAGGAAAGAAAACAGAGCTTTGTAAATTGATTGAGAGGAAAGAAAACAGGGCTTTATAAATTAAGAAGAGGAAAGAAAACAGAGCTTTGTAAATTGATTGAGAGGAAAGAAAACAGGGCTTTATAAATTAAGAAGAGGAAAGAAAACAGAGCTTTGTAAATTGATTGAGAGGAAAGAAAACAGGGCTTTATAAATTAAGAAGAGGAAAGAAAACAGAGCTTTGTAAATTGATTGAGAGGAAAGAAAACAGGGCTTTATAAATTAAGAAGAGGAAAGAAAACAGAGCTTTGTAAATTGATTGAGAGGAAAGAAAACAGGGCTTTATAAATTAAGAAGAGGAAAGAAAACAGAGCTTTGTAAATTGATTGAGAGGAAAGAAAACAGGGCTTTATAAATTAAGAAGAGGAAAGAAAACAGAGCTTTGTAAATTGATTGAGAGGAAAGAAAACAGGGCTTTATAAATTAAGAAGAGGAAAGAAAACAGAGCTTTGTAAATTGATTGAGAGGAAAGAAAACAGGGCTTTATAAATTAAGAAGAGGAAAGAAAACAGAGCTTTGTAAATTGATTGAGAGGAAAGAAAACAGGGCTTTATAAATTAAGAAGAGGAAAGAAAACAGAGCTTTGTAAATTGATTGAGAGGAAAGAAAACAGGGCTTTATAAATTAAGAAGAGGAAAGAAAACAGAGCTTTGTAAATTGATTGAGAGGAAAGAAAACAGGGCTTTATAAATTAAGAAGAGGAAAGAAAACAGAGCTTTGTAAATTGATTGAGAGGAAAGAAAACAGGGCTTTATAAATTAAGAAGAGGAAAGAAAACAGAGCTTTGTAAATTGATTGAGAGGAAAGAAAACAGGGCTTTATAAATTAAGAAGAGGAAAGAAAACAGAGCTTTGTAAATTGATTGAGAGGAAAGAAAACAGGGCTTTATAAATTAAGAAGAGGAAAGAAAACAGAGCTTTGTAAATTGATTGAGAGGAAAGAAAACAGGGCTTTATAAATTAAGAAGAGGAAAGAAAACAGAGCTTTGTAAATTGATTGAGAGGAAAGAAAACAGGGCTTTATAAATTAAGAAGAGGAAAGAAAACAGAGCTTTGTAAATTGATTGAGAGGAAAGAAAACAGGGCTTTATAAATTAAGAAGAGGAAAGAAAACAGAGCTTTGTAAATTGATTGAGAGGAAAGAAAACAGGGCTTTATAAATTAAGAAGAGGAAAGAAAACAGAGCTTTGTAAATTGATTGAGAGGAAAGAAAACAGGGCTTTATAAATTAAGAAGAGGAAAGAAAACAGAGCTTTGTAAATTGATTGAGAGGAAAGAAAACAGGGCTTTATAAATTAAGAAGAGGAAAGAAAACAGAGCTTTGTAAATTGATTGAGAGGAAAGAAAACAGGGCTTTATAAATTAAGAAGAGGAAAGAAAACAGAGCTTTGTAAATTGATTGAGAGGAAAGAAAACAGGGCTTTATAAATTAAGAAGAGGAAAGAAAACAGAGCTTTGTAAATTGATTGAGAGGAAAGAAAACAGGGCTTTATAAATTAAGAAGAGGAAAGAAAACAGAGCTTTGTAAATTGATTGAGAGGAAAGAAAACAGGGCTTTATAAATTAAGAAGAGGAAAGAAAACAGAGCTTTGTAAATTGATTGAGAGGAAAGAAAACAGGGCTTTATAAATTAAGAAGAGGAAAGAAAACAGAGCTTTGTAAATTGATTGAGAGGAAAGAAAACAGGGCTTTATAAATTAAGAAGAGGAAAGAAAACAGAGCTTTGTAAATTGATTGAGAGGAAAGAAAACAGGGCTTTATAAATTAAGAAGAGGAAAGAAAACAGAGCTTTGTAAATTGATTGAGAGGAAAGAAAACAGGGCTTTATAAATTAAGAAGAGGAAAGAAAACAGAGCTTTGTAAATTGATTGAGAGGAAAGAAAACAGGGCTTTATAAATTAAGAAGAGGAAAGAAAACAGAGCTTTGTAAATTGATTGAGAGGAAAGAAAACAGGGCTTTATAAATTAAGAAGAGGAAAGAAAACAGAGCTTTGTAAATTGATTGAGAGGAAAGAAAACAGGGCTTTATAAATTAAGAAGAGGAAAGAAAACAGAGCTTTGTAAATTGATTGAGAGGAAAGAAAACAGGGCTTTATAAATTAAGAAGAGGAAAGAAAACAGAGCTTTGTAAATTGATTGAGAGGAAAGAAAACAGGGCTTTATAAATTAAGAAGAGGAAAGAAAACAGAGCTTTGTAAATTGATTGAGAGGAAAGAAAACAGGGCTTTATAAATTAAGAAGAGGAAAGAAAACAGAGCTTTGTAAATTGATTGAGAGGAAAGAAAACAGGGCTTTATAAATTAAGAAGAGGAAAGAAAACAGAGCTTTGTAAATTGATTGAGAGGAAAGAAAACAGGGCTTTATAAATTAAGAAGAGGAAAGAAAACAGAGCTTTGTAAATTGATTGAGAGGAAAGAAAACAGGGCTTTATAAATTAAGAAGAGGAAAGAAAACAGAGCTTTGTAAATTGATTGAGAGGAAAGAAAACAGGGCTTTATAAATTAAGAAGAGGAAAGAAAACAGAGNTTAATTTTAACGAAATAATCACATTTTTACAGTCTCTTCCCACGTTAAATATCAAAAAAGTGGCTTTTAGTCGCACGAAAACGCTCGTAAATTGTGTAAAATACACGTAAACACAAAAGGACTATAAAATATAAAGCCTAAATAAAGTGGCGCGTTATAGCTTCATGGGGCCCAGGAAAATTTGAATTAGGGGTCCCCGCGTACAGTGTTGACTTCAAGCAGTTCTCTTCGAAGGATTTGGTGCCCCAAGCAATTTCCCTCTTTGCTCATAGGTTAACGCGTCACCTGACTAAATACCATTGTTTATTCATGTGTATTTGAATTTATAAATATAAAAATTTAAACTAAATACACGAAATATAGTATTGTAATTACGATATTGCTCACACGTGATAACTTATTTTAACTGTTTAGAAATATCTTAATCAAGTATGATTGTGGCCTCAAGGCCGTTTTGGCACGTGCTCCAGACACAGAGAACTACCAGTGTTTATGTAGAAAAACTTGATGCACATCTATTTTAATTTATTTTATTGATTTTATTCACTTCTTTTTATGACTTTCGTTGAAGGGTGATGCCCACTTTGGTATCATTGACTTGGGCCCATCTCGCCTTCTTTCAGCCTTTACCGTATTCTGCGTAAGATAAATTACTTCATATCTCCTTGATAATCTTTACAAGTGCTAAGTAAAGTTATAAACAGATATTTTTAACTTTTTATCTGTATTTTTATCGCTTTTACTTCCCGGTTCTGTTACATAATACAGAGGAAAAGTATGGCGATCGATCAAAAAATGATCCCCTCCAAGATTTTTACACTCGGAAGTCCTTGAAACGTCGAGAAATGCAAAAGATTGGGGTTCTGTATATATGAATGTTAGTGTATGTGTGTATAGTATGTGTGGGGGGCACAATTTTGTTTACCCTTTTTGAAGCTTGATAACTCCTGTGCTTTTTGTCAAAAGTTTCCGAAATTTCGCAGGGAGGCTTGTGTAATGAGGAGATTCATGCCATTAAATTTTGGTGGTTAAAGGTCGAAGGGATAGGGAGATAAACAGGGCCGTGTCATATCTCGAGTAGAGTCTGATTTAATGACTCATTATTAGCATTTACAATTTTTTGTAAAACCCATCTCTACCCTCTCAAAATTAATTTTCTTTGCCATTTTATAATAATTAAAAATATTAAATTTTTAAAATAAAATATTGTAACAGATGGCGCTGTCGAACGTCGCCGGAAAAGTTAAGCAACTCGTTGTTGGATTTTCATAGAGGATAGTGCGAGTAGCATAACTAGAACCAATACTGAAAAGGGCCCAAGTTAGAACGTGCGAGCGTGCATTCGCCTCGTACCATTGTGCATGTGTGCCACTAGCCCTGACAATAGTCTTGCAAATCTTTTCCCTATACTTATTTGATGGGGCCCAGTGACGCCCACATATTGGGGCACGTGCTCCCTCTTTTCGTCTATATTGCCCTTCTCCTTATCTCTAAAGGAGTCCCAAATTCAACAACAAACAACAGAAAATTCATGACTTCTAGCCTATTCAGTAAATATAAAACGATAATTGTCCGTTGTTCCACCCAGCTTTATTGCACGTTGACCAAAACTTTGATCTTGAAAACAGGGAATGTTCCTTTCTTTCAAGGCCAAGTTAGACTCAATTGCAACCAGTGCCATATTGCAAGAGTGCTGATCCGACGTTGAATCCTACTTTGAAGCTTCTTGCATAATGTATGGTGCCTTTCTTATAGTCTGCGGGCGTTACCGAGTAGCTAGGACTGTTACCCTGTTTACGCTATCGAGTAGGGCCCAGTTCCGTAACAGAGCCGAGCTTGGCCTCGTTTATCTCTCTCGCCTTACTACACACAAAACAATTCGTATCTTCTGATAAACTCCGAATGGTTTTAAATCAATGGTCTTTTAAATTAATTTTTCATCGTTATGTTGGAATCAACGATTGCAATGTTTTGTAGATGTTCTGTTGTGTGTGTAATCTTTGTGCACTCTCTGTTCCTTTGTTACACAACCGGTTACGTTAATCCAACTGCCTTTTTACTAATCTCTCCGACAAACATCTAGTCTAACACGTTATACAAGAAATTGAAGGTTACGAAACATATTCTTGAACATTTTTCGTTAAATAATTGCTCAAGTGCGTGTTTAAAGAAATTTGTCAGGTCATTTTTCAGGGTTATAAATCTTCCTTTATGTGTAATAATATTGACAGGAAAGAGTTTCCTTACATTAATACCACTAAAAATTAGTTAAAGTCACCAGAATACTGTGGTAATCCAGCTTACAGTAGTGGATCCAAATATGGAGGTTCCTCAATATTATGGTTACGTGATCTTCATTGTTTTGGCTTCGTTTCTAGTAAATCTTTGGCTTGCTGAAAGAGTTTCAATTGCTCGATTTAGATATAACATTCAGGTAGACTCGTTAATTCTTATGAATTATTTATATGTATTATTTTACATAATGTAATTGGTAGAATGCTCATATTTCATATTTTTATTGTGATTTTTCTATGATACAATCTATAAATTAAATACATTAGAGAGCAAACAGGTTTCTTGAATTAAAATTCCTAAATACAGCAATCAACAAATATCCTAATATAGGCCTATAAGTGTATGGACGACATTTGAGGGCATATAGAATGGAGTATTTAAGGTGTTGAAAAGTGTTAAAGATGTATAAAATAAGGTGTTCGGAGATAGGAATGAAGTATTTAGGGACATGAAAGTATACTCATGTTCATAAAATAAGCATAATTGCCCAATTCATAGATAGGAGCTCAAGTACAGTTCACAGTATGGTTCTCATCGGATTAGAATCTGGAGAAAGTGAGAGGGATCCAAATCCGAGAACATCGTGTAAAGAGAATTTGGAATAGCATGGTATAGGGGCGTCATTATGGTCTCACCGAGCTTCGTGCTTTTATAAGGTGTGCTATTACTGAAAGAAGGTAAAAAGGAGGCTTTTGAAACCCCGCATGAGTGTTGAGGATGCGGATCTCATTTTCATTCTTATCTAATCTCATACTCTTCGTTTTCTTTGACGATTGCAGCCATATTTACATAGGGCTGCATTTAGTGGCGGATTATCACACGGGCTCAAAAAGCGCGCGCTTGGAGCTTCCGATTGACAAGGCCTTCGAAAGTTAGCAGCTTCAAAAAGACATACAGTATATTCTGTGAACCTAAGGCAAAGATACTGTACTATCTTCATCTAGACATTTAGAGATTTATTTTTAAGGAAACGATTGACTGATCAGTATTTTTTTTTTTATTAAGTAATAAAGTTATTTGATGTCATTACTTAGTAGGGGCCTCAAAGCTAGGTTGCACTAGAGACCCTCCGAGAGCTTGATCAGCCGCAGGCTTCATTGAGGTTGCTGACTACGCGAGGAATTAGGATCGAATATGGACGAGTCGACAAAACCCCAAGAATATTTCGGGTGTGGTCCGTCCGAATATATCGGGTCGCACTCTCGCACCTCCCGGCCGCCCCAATAACAGATTGGCTAAAAAAAAGCCCTCTTTATGCCCATAACGCGGAAAGATCTCTCTCCTCTTGGTAGCTCGTCTGTGTGTTGCATTGCATTATACCATCACGAGTGTACTCAACAATGACTTTTTTGACAGTAAATATATTCTTCGCATGAAACATCAGCAAGATCTAATCCGAATCTCAGAGCACGCATAGGAGGCTTTAATGTGACGAGTCTCCACCAATAACACTCCGAGGAGCTTTAAGAGTGAACTTTGCTCTTGAAGATTCTTTACTTTTTAATTACTTCGCTGCATAAAGCATACAACAGTGGCGCATTAGGACTTCATGAGGCTCAGGCCCATGAAGTCCTAATTAGAGGGCCCACTTAGTGTTGAATTCAGACATTTTTCTTCGGGGAATTTTTCGTTAAATATATAATATTTCCTTATAAAAGATTGGTTTGGGCTACAGACAATTGTCTTTTTTGCCCATAGGATAACATTAAAGAATATAGGGGGAAAAAATTAACATTTCATTCTTATTTATTTTACAGTATCCTATGATGTACAGCGAAACAAATAATATATTTAACTGTATGCAGCGATCTCACTTAAATTTGTAAGTTATATTTTATTATAATTTCCATAATAACGCAACGTATGGTGATTGAAGTATATTTGCAGTGTGGAAAATTATCCTTCCTTCCTATCCCTACTCCTATTAGCCGGATTATCGGATCCCGTAAGTAATTTATAATATAAATATAATTTATGATCATAAAGGTATTTAAAAATGTGAATTTATATAAACTTATATAATTAGATTGCAAGTGCAAAGTATGGAGCAATATGGCTTTTAGGAAGAGTGGTTTATGCAATTGGTTATTCAACTGGAAGTAAGTTTTAGTAAAAAAAAAGAAGGCATTTTTAGAAGTATAATATGGAACGTTTGGCTAATTATAATATGAATATTATTATTAAATGTTTTCAGAACCGTGGAAGAGACTTTTTGGCTCCTTTCAATATTTAGGACTGGCAGGTTTGATATATCACACTTACCTAATTGGAAACGAACTTCTGTAAAGGAGAAATTTCTACTCGCTCGTACTTAATTTTTTCGATTTTTTCACGTTTAAACTTTAATACGATTATCAAAATATTGTATGTATATTGTGAATTAATTAAGCTGACCCCATTTTCTTATCTTCCAATCAAGTTTTAAGTAGGTTAAGTTTGTTATATATCGATTCCTCACAGTTTTATATCATGGTTATAACAAGGTAAAACTTGTATATCACTAGTATCTAACGTGGCTTACTCGTTAAATTCAACATTTAATCGGGATAAAACTGGATATTAACCTAATAAATTTGAAGGTAATTAAAGAAAATGTTCAAGAGCTCAGAAATATCTTGTTTTTTTTAATAATAAATTAAATAAATATTTTAAAAAATTTATTAAAAATAAACATTGATAAAATAGAAAGAATTAAGTGCAAGAAAATTAAGGACTAGGTGGAAGTATAGATATTTAAAGGAAAAATGATAGAAGAAATCGTAGGAATCAAGTGTAAAAATTAAGAACTAAATGGAAGGAATTAATGGAAAATATCAAGAAAATTGAAGGTATTGGATTCATAAACTAAGGAGTAAATGGAAAGAATTAAAGGAATCGAGTAATTAAACGAAGAACAAATTGAAGAAATTACATTGAAAAATTACAGAATAAATCAAAGAACAAGTGGAAGAAATTAAATAAGAAAAATTAGTTAAATCTATAATATAGAAAATAAAATTAATTTAGAACGAATATATAATCGAGGACATTGAAAATTCCCTTCTGTTTTTTTCTTTACTTTATCAATTCTTATCGGAAGTTGTATATTAAAATATTAAAAAACAAAATCCAAAAAAATTACGAAATTTCCAATTTTTCCCGATAATTACCATTTTCAGCTTCCTGTTATCATAAATTTCGAATAAATTATTTTAAAAATTAACTTTTCCTTTAAATCTTATAAACAAAATGGAAGTTTCCTCCTTAGTTTGACACTTGATATTTTTTTGCTTGTAAAAGTCTGAGTTTTATATTTAAAAAAAACCGTTTTTGTTTAAAAAAAATGTAACTTTTTACATTAATTTATGCAATAAACTAATAAAATATCAATAAAAAANAAGAAGAGGAAAGAAAACAGAGCTTTGTAAATTGATTGAGAGGAAAGAAAACAGGGCTTTATAAATTAAGAAGAGGAAAGAAAACAGAGCTTTGTAAATTAAGAAAAGGGGAGAAAATAGGGCTTTATAAATTGATTGAGAGAAGAGAAAACAGGGCTTTTTATTAATTAATTGAGATGCGAAAAATAAGAATTTATAAATTTGAAAACAGCAAATCATAAATGGGATCGGGCCAAGTTTTACAAAATTATGAAAATGCAACGGAAAATGCTCGGGATTAAAGGATAAAATAAGACTCTGTATATTCAGATGTATCGATTACCCTAACATACGCACCTCCCTGCAAAATTTCAGAAATTTTCGAGCACGAAGGGCACGGAAGTTATTAAGCTTCGAAGTGTCCCCTACGCACACGTACTGTACACACATACACATTAACATCCGTATCCCTCTGTTATATATAACAGCATGGAATGTAAAAATTTACTTGATATCTGATAATGCTATTTTATCAGGTCAACAATTAGTTAAATGATAATGATTGTATTATAATAATACGATCGACTACTTATTGTGACATCGTCACAATTCCGGGCTGCAATTCTTAACATAATTTTTAATTTCTTAAAAGTCACGTGACTGCCGGTCCGGAAGTTCGTATAAGTTAATGGAAGAATGGCCCATAAGCGTACCGTATCCGGTCACGATTTTCGTCTATTTAACTCTGTCAGCGGACACATGAGATAATGGCCGCTGTTTGAAGGTTTTTTACAATGGTTAATTAACTTTTGGGTACACTATCTGTATAAAATATTACTTACATTTTTAATTGTTTTACTGTAAAAACTGTGTAAGCCGGAATCGCATGGTGCCGAATATTTTTTCTATTTTGGCTGTTTTCGGTTGTATCCAGGTTCCGTTTTGGACAGGTTAACATTAACCATAGTTAGGCCTATATTATTATTTTCTATAGAACTTTTATGAATTCCATGTAGCTGTAACACATCCCACTTGCGACAACTGTTTCTATTTTCATTTATCTATAAATTATCTTCAACCTACTTTTATATTATTTTTCCTATTTTACATTAAAATAATATAATATAATAAGGATATTTTATATTATAAACACGAAAATTTTCTTTATTATAATGATATATTTATATTATATTATATATTATATCTATTTGTTCAACTTACAACTCTGCATACTTCCGAGTTACGTAATAAACTATAGATTTTTATTTTGAAACTATCTGATGTGGAATTTCACCAGGAAAATATGACAAATAATGTATTATTAATATAATCTTGCGAAATTTAACATATTTATTTTATTTTTATATATTTTTAATCGACGGAACCAAAAATTTATTACTCTGAGTCGTAAAATAAAGGTTTATGGCTTAATCTAAGATGGCGACTTTCGTCTAATTAATTCAAATTTTTGATAAGTTTAAGGTGTTTAAGACCTAATTATTGGTTAGGTTAACGTCCAGTAGCGTAACCAGAAGGGGCCCTGGGGCCCTGTTACGCTACTGTACTTAATTATTATAGATAAGGGGCCTGGTGGACCATATCTATAATAATTAAGCACAGACACGGCAAATACACTTATACACGTGTCATATATGCTAACTAAGACTATCCATCCACAACGCCAGTAATTACAAGTACAGGGATAAATGTAGGTTTGCACGTTCTAATTCGAGATCCCCCTTCTAATATCGCTTGTGGTTATCGCATGCGACTCGTGTACGTCGCGATCGTTAGTAAATCGCGTTGCGTAACTCATTTTCACGTGTTCGAGTCTTTCAGGTGTTCTGTTGTAAACTAAAATTATCACATTAAATACGTTTAAAAATCTCTGCTTATTTTAAATATTTTCAAGCCATTTAGCAGCGTAAATTCCTTAAAATTTTATCTAAATTTCTTAATATTTATTTTACAAAAATCCATCAACGACTTGCGTAACTTTCCCGGTAAGAATTAAAATTGTGTGTGGTGCCATCTTTCATGAGATTTTATTACAATATTTTTATTTTATTGATTATTATAAATTGGGAGGGAAAAAGCTTAATTTGGAGGGTAGAAACGCTAATAACCAGTAAAATCTTCATTAACTGTAAGTCCGACTCCACTCGAGATACGACACACGATCCCCCTCTATCTTTCCATCTGATCGACCTTTACCCACCAAAATTTAACAGCATCAAGACCCCTAATACACAAACCTCTCCACCAAATTTCAGAAATTTTAGGCAAAAGGCACGGGAGTTATTAAGCTTCAAAGTGGATGAACCCCTATACACATAACTTAACATCCAGTTGCGCGTTACATCTTCACGGGACCCGGGCAAATTTAAATTGTACGTGGCAACCATTGTACTGTACATGGGGCTCCCTAGCCCCACGTTTAACGTTGGCTTCTGACATTTCTCTTTAGGGGAATTTTTGGGGAGAAATAATATGTTATGAACGATTGGTTTGGAGTCCTCCATTGATGTGTGCCCCAGGCAATCGGCCTTTTTGGTCATAGGATAACGCGCCACTGTTAACAACCATACGTATTTTCCTCTGTTACGTGTAAAAACGTAGAAAGTAATAAATAATATATATTTTTTCACATTTCGAGTATATTTGTGGTTTCAGTTCTGCGTATTTTCGGGATGCAGAACTGAAATCTAATGCCTTTTTGTCGATGACAAATTTGGATTTATTATTTAAATTATATTATTATAAAAGTATTCGTTAATAAATATTTATAATACTTTAAATACAACATTTAATTTTAAATATTTATTATCTACAGTTCAAAATGTTATATTTATGTTGTATAATTTGATAGATGATAAAAGTAATTGCTTCACTACCCCCAGACACTACGTAATGCCTCTTTACATTTACACGCTGTATTCTTCTAGCACCATCTGGTTAATATATTTAACACTAGAATATTTTAAAGAATGAATATTCTAATCGATTTATATTTATTTTTATTTTTAATTTTAACGAAATAATCACATTTTTACAGTCTCTTCCCACGTTAAATATCAAAAAAGTGGCTTTTAGTCGCACGAAAACGCTCGTAAATTGTGTAAAATACACGTAAACACAAAAGGACTATAAAATATAAAGCCTAAATAAAGTGGCGCGTTATAGCTTCATGGGGCCCAGGAAAATTTGAATTAGGGGTCCCCGCGTACAGTGTTGACTTCAAGCAGTTCTCTTCGAAGGATTTGGTGCCCCAAGCAATTTCCCTCTTTGCTCATAGGTTAACGCGTCACCTGACTAAATACCATTGTTTATTCATGTGTATTTGAATTTATAAATATAAAAATTTAAACTAAATACACGAAATATAGTATTGTAATTACGATATTGCTCACACGTGATAACTTATTTTAACTGTTTAGAAATATCTTAATCAAGTATGATTGTGGCCTCAAGGCCGTTTTGGCACGTGCTCCAGACACAGAGAACTACCAGTGTTTATGTAGAAAAACTTGATGCACATCTATTTTAATTTATTTTATTGATTTTATTCACTTCTTTTTATGACTTTCGTTGAAGGGTGATGCCCACTTTGGTATCATTGACTTGGGCCCATCTCGCCTTCTTTCAGCCTTTACCGTATTCTGCGTAAGATAAATTACTTCATATCTCCTTGATAATCTTTACAAGTGCTAAGTAAAGTTATAAACAGATATTTTTAACTTTTTATCTGTATTTTTATCGCTTTTACTTCCCGGTTCTGTTACATAATACAGAGGAAAAGTATGGCGATCGATCAAAAAATGATCCCCTCCAAGATTTTTACACTCGGAAGTCCTTGAAACGTCGAGAAATGCAAAAGATTGGGGTTCTGTATATATGAATGTTAGTGTATGTGTGTATAGTATGTGTGGGGGGCACAATTTTGTTTACCCTTTTTGAAGCTTGATAACTCCTGTGCTTTTTGTCAAAAGTTTCCGAAATTTCGCAGGGAGGCTTGTGTAATGAGGAGATTCATGCCATTAAATTTTGGTGGTTAAAGGTCGAAGGGATAGGGAGATAAACAGGGCCGTGTCATATCTCGAGTAGAGTCTGATTTAATGACTCATTATTAGCATTTACAATTTTTTGTAAAACCCATCTCTACCCTCTCAAAATTAATTTTCTTTGCCATTTTATAATAATTAAAAATATTAAATTTTTAAAATAAAATATTGTAACAGATGGCGCTGTCGAACGTCGCCGGAAAAGTTAAGCAACTCGTTGTTGGATTTTCATAGAGGATAGTGCGAGTAGCATAACTAGAACCAATACTGAAAAGGGCCCAAGTTAGAACGTGCGAGCGTGCATTCGCCTCGTACCATTGTGCATGTGTGCCACTAGCCCTGACAATAGTCTTGCAAATCTTTTCCCTATACTTATTTGATGGGGCCCAGTGACGCCCACATATTGGGGCACGTGCTCCCTCTTTTCGTCTATATTGCCCTTCTCCTTATCTCTAAAGGAGTCCCAAATTCAACAACAAACAACAGAAAATTCATGACTTCTAGCCTATTCAGTAAATATAAAACGATAATTGTCCGTTGTTCCACCCAGCTTTATTGCACGTTGACCAAAACTTTGATCTTGAAAACAGGGAATGTTCCTTTCTTTCAAGGCCAAGTTAGACTCAATTGCAACCAGTGCCATATTGCAAGAGTGCTGATCCGACGTTGAATCCTACTTTGAAGCTTCTTGCATAATGTATGGTGCCTTTCTTATAGTCTGCGGGCGTTACCGAGTAGCTAGGACTGTTACCCTGTTTACGCTATCGAGTAGGGCCCAGTTCCGTAACAGAGCCGAGCTTGGCCTCGTTTATCTCTCTCGCCTTACTACACACAAAACAATTCGTATCTTCTGATAAACTCCGAATGGTTTTAAATCAATGGTCTTTTAAATTAATTTTTCATCGTTATGTTGGAATCAACGATTGCAATGTTTTGTAGATGTTCTGTTGTGTGTGTAATCTTTGTGCACTCTCTGTTCCTTTGTTACACAACCGGTTACGTTAATCCAACTGCCTTTTTACTAATCTCTCCGACAAACATCTAGTCTAACACGTTATACAAGAAATTGAAGGTTACGAAACATATTCTTGAACATTTTTCGTTAAATAATTGCTCAAGTGCGTGTTTAAAGAAATTTGTCAGGTCATTTTTCAGGGTTATAAATCTTCCTTTATGTGTAATAATATTGACAGGAAAGAGTTTCCTTACATTAATACCACTAAAAATTAGTTAAAGTCACCAGAATACTGTGGTAATCCAGCTTACAGTAGTGGATCCAAATATGGAGGTTCCTCAATATTATGGTTACGTGATCTTCATTGTTTTGGCTTCGTTTCTAGTAAATCTTTGGCTTGCTGAAAGAGTTTCAATTGCTCGATTTAGATATAACATTCAGGTAGACTCGTTAATTCTTATGAATTATTTATATGTATTATTTTACATAATGTAATTGGTAGAATGCTCATATTTCATATTTTTATTGTGATTTTTCTATGATACAATCTATAAATTAAATACATTAGAGAGCAAACAGGTTTCTTGAATTAAAATTCCTAAATACAGCAATCAACAAATATCCTAATATAGGCCTATAAGTGTATGGACGACATTTGAGGGCATATAGAATGGAGTATTTAAGGTGTTGAAAAGTGTTAAAGATGTATAAAATAAGGTGTTCGGAGATAGGAATGAAGTATTTAGGGACATGAAAGTATACTCATGTTCATAAAATAAGCATAATTGCCCAATTCATAGATAGGAGCTCAAGTACAGTTCACAGTATGGTTCTCATCGGATTAGAATCTGGAGAAAGTGAGAGGGATCCAAATCCGAGAACATCGTGTAAAGAGAATTTGGAATAGCATGGTATAGGGGCGTCATTATGGTCTCACCGAGCTTCGTGCTTTTATAAGGTGTGCTATTACTGAAAGAAGGTAAAAAGGAGGCTTTTGAAACCCCGCATGAGTGTTGAGGATGCGGATCTCATTTTCATTCTTATCTAATCTCATACTCTTCGTTTTCTTTGACGATTGCAGCCATATTTACATAGGGCTGCATTTAGTGGCGGATTATCACACGGGCTCAAAAAGCGCGCGCTTGGAGCTTCCGATTGACAAGGCCTTCGAAAGTTAGCAGCTTCAAAAAGACATACAGTATATTCTGTGAACCTAAGGCAAAGATACTGTACTATCTTCATCTAGACATTTAGAGATTTATTTTTAAGGAAACGATTGACTGATCAGTATTTTTTTTTTTATTAAGTAATAAAGTTATTTGATGTCATTACTTAGTAGGGGCCTCAAAGCTAGGTTGCACTAGAGACCCTCCGAGAGCTTGATCAGCCGCAGGCTTCATTGAGGTTGCTGACTACGCGAGGAATTAGGATCGAATATGGACGAGTCGACAAAACCCCAAGAATATTTCGGGTGTGGTCCGTCCGAATATATCGGGTCGCACTCTCGCACCTCCCGGCCGCCCCAATAACAGATTGGCTAAAAAAAAGCCCTCTTTATGCCCATAACGCGGAAAGATCTCTCTCCTCTTGGTAGCTCGTCTGTGTGTTGCATTGCATTATACCATCACGAGTGTACTCAACAATGACTTTTTTGACAGTAAATATATTCTTCGCATGAAACATCAGCAAGATCTAATCCGAATCTCAGAGCACGCATAGGAGGCTTTAATGTGACGAGTCTCCACCAATAACACTCCGAGGAGCTTTAAGAGTGAACTTTGCTCTTGAAGATTCTTTACTTTTTAATTACTTCGCTGCATAAAGCATACAACAGTGGCGCATTAGGACTTCATGAGGCTCAGGCCCATGAAGTCCTAATTAGAGGGCCCACTTAGTGTTGAATTCAGACATTTTTCTTCGGGGAATTTTTCGTTAAATATATAATATTTCCTTATAAAAGATTGGTTTGGGCTACAGACAATTGTCTTTTTTGCCCATAGGATAACATTAAAGAATATAGGGGGAAAAAATTAACATTTCATTCTTATTTATTTTACAGTATCCTATGATGTACAGCGAAACAAATAATATATTTAACTGTATGCAGCGATCTCACTTAAATTTGTAAGTTATATTTTATTATAATTTCCATAATAACGCAACGTATGGTGATTGAAGTATATTTGCAGTGTGGAAAATTATCCTTCCTTCCTATCCCTACTCCTATTAGCCGGATTATCGGATCCCGTAAGTAATTTATAATATAAATATAATTTATGATCATAAAGGTATTTAAAAATGTGAATTTATATAAACTTATATAATTAGATTGCAAGTGCAAAGTATGGAGCAATATGGCTTTTAGGAAGAGTGGTTTATGCAATTGGTTATTCAACTGGAAGTAAGTTTTAGTAAAAAAAAAGAAGGCATTTTTAGAAGTATAATATGGAACGTTTGGCTAATTATAATATGAATATTATTATTAAATGTTTTCAGAACCGTGGAAGAGACTTTTTGGCTCCTTTCAATATTTAGGACTGGCAGGTTTGATATATCACACTTACCTAATTGGAAACGAACTTCTGTAAAGGAGAAATTTCTACTCGCTCGTACTTAATTTTTTCGATTTTTTCACGTTTAAACTTTAATACGATTATCAAAATATTGTATGTATATTGTGAATTAATTAAGCTGACCCCATTTTCTTATCTTCCAATCAAGTTTTAAGTAGGTTAAGTTTGTTATATATCGATTCCTCACAGTTTTATATCATGGTTATAACAAGGTAAAACTTGTATATCACTAGTATCTAACGTGGCTTACTCGTTAAATTCAACATTTAATCGGGATAAAACTGGATATTAACCTAATAAATTTGAAGGTAATTAAAGAAAATGTTCAAGAGCTCAGAAATATCTTGTTTTTTTTAATAATAAATTAAATAAATATTTTAAAAAATTTATTAAAAATAAACATTGATAAAATAGAAAGAATTAAGTGCAAGAAAATTAAGGACTAGGTGGAAGTATAGATATTTAAAGGAAAAATGATAGAAGAAATCGTAGGAATCAAGTGTAAAAATTAAGAACTAAATGGAAGGAATTAATGGAAAATATCAAGAAAATTGAAGGTATTGGATTCATAAACTAAGGAGTAAATGGAAAGAATTAAAGGAATCGAGTAATTAAACGAAGAACAAATTGAAGAAATTACATTGAAAAATTACAGAATAAATCAAAGAACAAGTGGAAGAAATTAAATAAGAAAAATTAGTTAAATCTATAATATAGAAAATAAAATTAATTTAGAACGAATATATAATCGAGGACATTGAAAATTCCCTTCTGTTTTTTTCTTTACTTTATCAATTCTTATCGGAAGTTGTATATTAAAATATTAAAAAACAAAATCCAAAAAAATTACGAAATTTCCAATTTTTCCCGATAATTACCATTTTCAGCTTCCTGTTATCATAAATTTCGAATAAATTATTTTAAAAATTAACTTTTCCTTTAAATCTTATAAACAAAATGGAAGTTTCCTCCTTAGTTTGACACTTGATATTTTTTTGCTTGTAAAAGTCTGAGTTTTATATTTAAAAAAAACCGTTTTTGTTTAAAAAAAATGTAACTTTTTACATTAATTTATGCAATAAACTAATAAAATATCAATAAAAAAGCTATTATTTTATTCAAATTTTATTACTAAAATATGAGATTTTTTTAAACCTTCAGCTTATTTATTAATAAAACTTATGTTTTTTACTTAAAAAAATCTCTTATTTTATTGTGTTTTTTAATATATTTACCCACTTAAACATTAATAAAAATGCCCTTTATTTTTGGCTTAATTTTTCACACTAAATTATGAATAAACACATCCATACTCACACTTTATTATTCTACAAGTGGAATCTATAATAATAATAATTTATAAATTATATTTTTGAATTTTCGTTTAAAATTTAAATAAATTATCTATAAATATACAAAATTTTTAATTAAAAAATATATACTGTATATATTGTACTTGTATATGGACTTTTAAATATTAAATAACTCGTGCTGCCATCTATCGACACGAATATCGTAAAAACGGGCATGGCCATTTTTAAAAATCCTCTAGCGACCGCGTGATCGTGTTAGGGGAGTGCTACTTAATCTTAACGACTGATCTATTTTCCTGGTAAGTAACGTTCTAAAATTAAACGAGATTTTAAACATTTCAAACTTCCTCAAACGTATAATTAGTTAAAACACATTTAAATCATTAAGAAATCGCATCCATTTCCTTCGTTTTGAAATTGATTAGTAATGAGTGCAGCATTTCCTGCTTCTTTATTTCAAAAAATGAACTAAGTTAAATTTATTCAATTTTAATGCGTAAATTCAACTTGAAATCTCTAAAAATTCATTTTTACTATAGAAATTTTCATAAGAGACGAGGAAAATAATTAATATAAACGATGTAACAAGTCTGACCTTCTGATCTCATTTTTTTTGTGGATATTTATTGCACATTAATAAAATACATGTACATGTGCTGTAAATATTGAGTAATGCTTTCTTTATCTTAGATTTTTATGCATTTATGCAGATAAATTGCTAAATAAATCCTAATTGCTATTGGAAAAAGATTAGAAAGTCACAGATTTTATTATCATTTTGTTAAAATTGCAGCTTTGAATGAGGCAGTTGGGACCTTATCAGAGCCATAGACCGTGTCCATAGGAGTAAAATAAAGTCTATGGAACCGACGGTCTATACGTGATGTTTCGTGAGATAAAGCCCCTCTGAAATTGACCTATCTGCAACTATTTCTCAAAACAATGGCCTGAGTGTAGGGCCGTGGTTTGCTATGATAGAGAGGCAGCCACATCAAGTGGCACCGTAAGGAGGCAGCATTTAAGGGGTGGCATTTCGAAGACTTGCATCTTACTGATAAAAATCTACCTCATGGCCCTAGCCGAGTGGATGCTGATAGTTGGTTGTGGGTTTGTGCCTCACCAATGGACAGACCATGTGGTTCATTTCTAGGTTTTCTTCACATTCATAACACCTAAGGGGCCATGTTTCCCATTGAAAGTCCCTCCAGGAATCATCTTCCCTTGGCAGATCACCCATGTCATGTTGCTTAAACAACTAATCCATTCTCAAAACATTTCCAAAATTAAACCATTTTCCACTTTACTAGAGATGGCCAAAAGCTCATAAAATTTGAAACACCATACCTGACTACTTCCAGGATATACTATAAACACTATATACTATACTGTATATAATATAGACTATATAGTACTATATGTACTACACTGCTACATCTTGCACAGGGTCACATATAGACCATCTGTTCCTTTTGATTTTTTTTACTGTTATGGGCACGTTATGCAGCTCTCATAAGGTCCCAACTGACTCATTCAGAGCTGCAATTTTACCATTATTTTCAACTTATAAAACTGTCTTAAATTATAGCTTATAATACCTAAAATTCAGTTATGGTGATTAAATATTTATGAAAATTTAATAAAGTTTTTGAAAGAATAGTTAATCAACACTATAAGAAAAGATTACTTGGTAATTATTCCTGCAACCTGTTTATTCAATAATTAGCAGACGCCGCCATGCCTTGTTGTGGCTCAAAATGTATCTATTATAAATGTATAACACTTCCCCAGTGGGGGAAAATTTTTCGAAAAATTTTTTCTTAGTGTACATTCTGTTGACGTACCCTATTAAAACGCAATCAAAAACGCAAAAACCCGCATCTAAAATAGTATAATAGAAGCCAAGTTTTTCAGAGTAAGCCTTAATCCTGTCTCTCTCCCCCGCGGGGNAAAAAAAAAAAAAAAAAAAAAAAAAAAAAAAAAAAAAAAAAAAAAAAAAAAAAAAAAAAAAAAAAAAAAAAAAAAAAAAAAAAAAAAAAAAAAAAAAAAAAAAAAAAAAAAAAAAAAAAAAAAAAAAAAAAAAAAAAAAAAAAAAAAAAAAAAAAAAAAAAAAAAAAAAAAAAAAAAAAAAAAAAAAAAAAAAAAAAAAAAAAAAAAAAAAAAAAAAAAAAAAAAAAAAAAAAAAAAAAAAAAAAAAAAAAAAAAAAAAAAAAAAAAAAAAAAAAAAAAAAAAAAAAAAAAAAAAAAAAAAAAAAAAAAAAAAAAAAAAAAAAAAAAAAAAAAAAAAAAAAAAAAAAAAAAAAAAAAAAAAAAAAAAAAAAAAAAAAAAAAAAAAAAAAAAAAAAAAAAAAAAAAAAAAAAAAAAAAAAAAAAAAAAAAAAAAAAAAAAAAAAAAAAAAAAAAAAAAAAAAAAAAAAAAAAAAAAAAAAAAAAAAAAAAAAAAAAAAAAAAAAAAAAAAAAAAAAAAAAAAAAAAAAAAAAAAAAAAAAAAAAAAAAAAAAAAAAAAAAAAAAAAAAAAAAAAAAAAAAAAAAAAAAAAAAAAAAAAAAAAAAAAAAAAAAAAAAAAAAAAAAAAAAAAAAAAAAAAAAAAAAAAAAAAAAAAAAAAAAAAAAAAAAAAAAAAAAAAAAAAAAAAAAAAAAAAAAAAAAAAAAAAAAAAAAAAAAAAAAAAAAAAAAAAAAAAAAAAAAAAAAAAAAAAAAAAAAAAAAAAAAAAAAAAAAAAAAAAAAAAAAAAAAAAAAAAAAAAAAAAAAAAAAAAAAAAAAAAAAAAAAAAAAAAAAAAAAAAAAAAAAAAAAAAAAAAAAAAAAAAAAAAAAAAAAAAAAAAAAAAAAAAAAAAAAAAAAAAAAAAAAAAAAAAAAAAAAAAAAAAAAAAAAAAAAAAAAAAAAAAAAAAAAAAAAAAAAAAAAAAAAAAAAAAAAAAAAAAAAAAAAAAAAAAAAAAAAAAAAAAAAAAAAAAAAAAAAAAAAAAAAAAAAAAAAAAAAAAAAAAAAAAAAAAAAAAAAAAAAAAAAAAAAAAAAAAAAAAAAAAAAAAAAAAAAAAAAAAAAAAAAAAAAAAAAAAAAAAAAAAAAAAAAAAAAAAAAAAAAAAAAAAAAAAAAAAAAAAAAAAAAAAAAAAAAAAAAAAAAAAAAAAAAAAAAAAAAAAAAAAAAAAAAAAAAAAAAAAAAAAAAAAAAAAAAAAAAAAAAAAAAAAAAAAAAAAAAAAAAAAAAAAAAAAAAAAAAAAAAAAAAAAAAAAAA